ATTGCTGTTCAACCTGTTCAGAGACAACTGGAGAGTGCTGTCTCAGCTGTGCCTGCTGAGCCACCGCCACGTGTAGAGAAGCAGGAGCAGCCATTCCAGAGGCCACCACCAAGGACCAGGTCCAGAACCAGATCCAGGGAATCTCCCCATCCCAAGAAAAGTCGGTGAGCTAACTAACGTGATGTCAAACGTGACCCTACCCCCACACCCCAAGTAAAGTCTGTTAGCTGACCCCACTCTCACCCCCAAGTAAAGTCGGTGAGCTAACTAACGTAGTGCGTTCGATTTGCTTCCCCAAGTTAACCTGGGTCTACTCGGGCCAGCCCCAAATACGTTCGATTTGCTTCCCCAAGTTAACCTGGGTCTATTCGGGCCAGCCCCAAATACGTTCGATTTGCTTCCCCAAGTTAACCTCGGTCTACTCGGGCCAGCCCCAAATACGTTCGATTTGGCAGTCACGCGGTATTTTTGCGTTACCGGTGTCGAGCGAAATATCTGACGTGTGCGAAATACATGAGATAGGATGCGTATGCGCATGCGTGCTGACCCGACCAATGACAGCTCGTCTTTGTGTTATGATAGGTTGTGTACACTTGAAGGTTTGTGTAAAAGGTGATTGGTCGGGTCGGGACGCATGCGAAGTGCGCATGCGCATACGCGTATGCATGCGCATACGCATCCTATATCATGTATTTCGCCAAACTCCACGACAGATGGCGCTCTTGCTCATGGGCTCAATCGTATCCTGAGTGTGCGAAGGGGGTGCTGCATGCAGTTTGGTATTTCGCAAGTCAGAAATTTTGCGCTACACCGGGTGAGGCCGAAGTAACCCGCTAGCAGCTAGCGTGATTTTTTTTCCTAGGTCAATAAAGAACATAGGGCTCTAGTGAGCGCTGCTATTGGTTGAGCTTGTTTCGTCGGTCAATGACGTCACAGTGTCGTCATATTCATAGCACATCCAAAATTCATAATTCCAATATTCCTCGATAGCCGAGCGAGTACAGCACGAAAGTCAAGGCTGAAAGGTCGGAGGATCGAATCCTATCCGTTTTTTAATTATTTTTCTGTTTTTTGTATCTTAATCCGCTTAACAATTTTTTTCCAATTAACGCAAATATTTACATGATTTATTTACAACAATTTAATAACAACAATTAATTTTTACAACAATAACAAAAATTATTATTTTTTTTTTTAATAGGGCTGGGTTAGGGTCACAATGCACCATAAAACAGGAGTTTGAGGCACGTGATTTGTATCAACCAATGGCAGCGCTCACTAGAGGCTAGAGCCCTGTGTTCTTGATTGACCTAGGAAAACAAAATCACGCTAGCGGCTAGCCGCACAGGCACTTGAAGCGTTTCAATAAAATATAATGCTAAATAAATACGAAATCTATTTACTAGTACTACAAAATTCTTAATGTTTCTATACTTTCTTTCACCTATTATTGCCGACAGTTGCCTGTAAATTCCGTCTAAATTCTCTATGCACACACACTACCGGCCGCCATTGCTCACGCTTGCACACTGACAGTTAAATATACTAACTGTTATATATATATATATATAAAATAGGTGAAAGAGAGTATAGAAACATTAAGAATTTTGTAGTAATGGTAAATAGATTTCGTATTTATTTAGCATTATATTTTATTGAAACGCGGAAGTATCCCACAATTCATTGCAACGAAATGGCGACGATATATTAGTGCCAGAATTGCATGAAACTTTTCCCAACACTTATGGATGTATCACGGCATACATGTGCAGGTTCTGCGTTTACAAATATTGATTCTGCAGAAGCTCATAGATCTATTATTATTGATAATGCAGGAGCTCAGGAAAATGGTATCCGCATTGTTTTACCAGATCATCTGCTAAGCCTAAGAATAGTCAATAGAATTTTGCTAAGAATAACAAACAATAAATAACTGTATACTGACTGTATAGCAATAATCATTCATCTAAAAACGTTTGAAACTTTCATATATTCATATTTCAATGCAAGCAGTATCTAGCAAATTGCTGATGACCCACGGGCACCTGTAACGCTGTTGTACATACCATTACCTACGACAATTGACATGTATGATGTAGATATTCATATATAGATATCGATATAAAATATTATCTGTATATGTATTCATTTTGTAATGTGCATTTTGAATATATAATTAATTTAATAATATATGTGCAATAAACTTAATTTGTATTTGATTTTGAATTTTTGAAAGCAAGATTATCCACCAATATTGCAACTTATCATGAGGGTACACTACATCCTTTCTGCAACTTTTTATTCCAGAGTCACGTACGACAGGATACGCTAAATGACAGTACGCAGTACAGTGTTGCTGAGGATGATGAGCAAAGCCGAAAACGCAAATCGGCGTCAAATGATAATATTCAAAAAACTAAGAAAACTTCTGATATTGACATCATCACATATATGCAAGAGCAGTTTGCGCAGCAAGCCAAAATGCACAATGAAACGATGGCACCTTTGAATAGAATTGCAGATAAACTTTAATCTGTAAATTTATTCAATGGCTCTGTTAGAGAAGCATATAGAAGTAGTGCCTATATAGTGTTGTTTCTTGAGCTGCTGTGTTTGTGAGTTTTTATTTTTTTAATTTTCAATACAGTGATCTAAAAATGTCTTCAGCCTAGCTGGCTGAATTTCTCTGTTTATTGAATATTTATGTATTATTTATCTGTATATTTTGATGGAGCAATAATTGCAACTCCAATTGTAATTTAATTTAATTTTGTTTTATTGCATACAAGCTTTAATCTGTAAATTCATTAAATGGCTCTGTTAGAGAAGCATATATAGAAGTATATAGTGTTGTTTCTTGAGCTGCTGTGTTTATGAGTTTTTATTTCTAAAATTTAAACCAGTGATCTAAAAATATCTTTAACCTAGTGTCATAATGATTAATGACGGTAGCGCCCTATAAGAGAGTTGTCTATTCTTTAGTTAGATATTTGAGAGCCAGGGGGAGCTACGGGAGTTCGGCATGGCGGTTTGTAATCTCGTGTTCTGCTCAGCTACGTTTCTTAAATAAAACGAATCTACATGAAGTTAAATCTCTTGTTTGGGTTTACACAATCATGACATGGTGTCAGAAGTGACTTGAAGAACAGTTTCAAGTACACATTGTAGTGCTGCTTGACAGAACAACGCGGACGTTTGTGTCTAAAGGGCGAGTCTACAGTTTGATACCGGTGGCCCCGGAATCACAAGTCATTGTCAAGAAAATGGCGCGATATGACCCCCCTGCCAAGTTTACGTTCAAAGCTGAAGAATGGAGTGAGTGGATAGAGGAATTCGGACGATTTCGGAAAGCCACTAAACTTCACAAAGAAGACGGAGAAGTACAAAGGGACTCACTTATCTACTGTATGGGAGGTAAACAAGCCAACAAAATATTCAAAACGTTGAAATTTGTTTCGCATGATGTGCCTGACCCAGAAAACCCTAGTGCCACAATTAGAGAGGAGGAAAAGGACACTGATTACGACACAGTTGTCAAGAAATTCACACAGTACTTCATCCCGAAAAGAAATATAATACACGAGAGATCACTCTTTCAAGAGAGGGTCCAAAGTAGGGAGGAGACGGTGGAGGAATTTCTAAGGGACCTTCAAGCAATGGTGGAGAATTGTGAGTACAAGGATCCAGAAGACCAAGTACGTGACAGGTTTGTCGTGGGACTCCTAGACCGAGGGGTGAAGCAAAACCTGCAGCTGATGCCAGATTTGACCCTTGATAAAGCTTCAGCAGTGGCACGCCAGCATGAACAGGTAAAATTACAGATGGTACAGCAACAAGCTTCCCACCAGGAGGTTAGCGAGGCAAAGTTCAAACAAAGGGAGCATAGACCAAAGTGGAAGAAAGATGTCAGCAGCCACAAAACAAAACAGAAATGCAACCGTTGTGGTTACGACTGTCACCCACGGGGTGGTAAATGCCCTGCTAGTGGACAGATCTGTAGGTCATGCAATAAGCATGGACATTTCTCTTCGGTGTGTCGCAGTGGTAAACACCGAGGTGGAAATTTAAATGTGGCAACAGACGCAGTGACATCTCAGGATACATCCGAGGGGGAGGAATCATTCTTCCTTGGAACAATTGATTGCCATGAGGAGGAGGAAGCGTGGTATGTGCCACTGAACATATGCGGCTCAACTGTAAAATTTAAAATAGACACAGGAGCTGACGTAACAGTGATTTCACACACCATCTGGCGATCAATGAAAAGTCGCCCACACCTGATGCACAACAAGGTCAAGCTCAACAGTCCTGGGGGCCAGCTCAAGGTTCTAGGTGCATTTACAGCTGTCATCAATCACAAGGGGAAAGTCTATACATTTCGTGTAGTCGTGATAGATGGAACAGGACCAGTCAGCCTGCTAGCCCGTGGAGTGGCAAAGAAAATGGGCCTAGTTACCCATGTAGATGAAATCTTGAGTCAGTTCAACTCAGATATTGGTCTCTTGAAGACCGAACCAGTCAAGATCAGTTTGACAGCAGGTGTAACACCACTGTGTGTCAACACCGCACGAAAAGTTCCGTTTTTCCTGATGGATGCGGTGAAAACAGAAATACGGAGAATGCAGGATAGTGGAGTGATCCGTCCTGTCACTGAGCCCACCGAATGGTGTGCAGCTATGGTTCCGGTTCAGAAGAAAAATGGTAAACTGCGCATTTGTGTTGACATAAAAAGACTGAATAGGGCTGTTCGCAGAGAACATTACACACTTCCGAATCTAAGCGACATCGCTCCTAAGTTGGCTCAGTCCAAGTACTTTACCAAGCTGGATGCAGCAAGTGGATTTTGGCAGATCCCCTTGGATGAAAAAAGCCAACTGCTCACAACATTCATGACGCCGTTTGGGAGGTATGCATTCTGTCGCGTTCCCTTCGGTATTACTTTGGCGCCAGAGATCTTCCAGCGAAAAATGACCGAGTTACTTCATGGCTTGGAGGGAGTAGAGGTCATAATGGATGATATCTTGGTTCATGGCCGATCCATGGAGGAGCATGAAAGGAGGCTAACTGAAGTTCTGACGAGACTGCAGGAAGCAGGTCTTCGTTTAAACCGAGAGAAATGCCAGTTTAGGATGAAAGAATTGGTTTACTTTGGTGACCTTATCGGTGCTGAAGAGATCAAGCCAGACCCAGAGAAGGTACGGGCAATGATGGATCTGACTCCACCCTCCAATGTCAGAGAACTCCGTAGCTTGATTGGAATGTTCCAATACCTAGGCAAGTTTGCAAACAACCTGTCTTCTGTTATGAAGCCCATGACAGATCTGCTGAGGTCTGACAGTGTCTGGTTATGGGGGCCAAGTCAGCAAGGTGCCTAAGTATTGGAACATTCTAACCAAGCTACGGAGGTTTCTGACATTGGAGGGTGGAGTCAGAGCCATCATTGCCCGTACCTTCTCTGGGTCTGGCTTGATCTCTTCAGCACCGATAAGGTCACCAAAGTAAACCAATTCTTTCATCCTAAACTGGCATTTCTCTCGGTTTAAACGAAGACCTGCTTCCTGCAGTCTCGTCAGAACTTCAGTTAGCCTCCTTTCATGCTCCTCCATGGATCGGCCATGA